TTTTCAAAATTGCTCAAATATCAATATTTTTTGAGTTATTAAGGAAACACTAAATACCTTTTTTCCAATATCATTTTGTTGATAACAATTTCAATTTTTTACTTGCACCAAAATCCTTCAAAAACATTTCTTTAGAGGTGAGTCCGAATCGAATGAGCTATCTCTCATATTTTTAGGACCTTCATCTCCATTTTTCATGTTTTTGAACTTGTTGATTAGACTAAGAACAGTCAGTTAGTTTGGCGCATGTTTGGCAATACAGTCGATCATCACCTGTTCCATTTTCAGATGATTTAACAATGAGCTTTGCACGGACAAGTTATTAGTCATATTAGGAAACGCTAGTTGAAGTTCCAGAAATTCACACACGTTTTTGCTACCTCTTGAACATTTACTACAGAGTAAACAAGTGAGGATTTTCCAGCAAAAGATTTACAAACACAAGACGAGATAGATTGTACGGAATCATTTAATCCTGAGTGATCAGGAGTATTGATTCTGCTATTGTTTTGCTCAAGAAGACAAGAAACCCAAGACAATACCCCGAGAATTCGGAACAGTCCTCGCTTTGTCCTAACGAGTATCTAGTAGATTTCAAAGACTCCAGAAAATGGATTGGAGAGAAAGATGGCACATTCTTAAGAAACTGCAGCTGCATGAACAGGTGTTTGAGTTTGATGAATAAGTAGGAAACATTCCCGTTCTCGTTCATCATTAAAACTTGGTTCTTGAAAATCTTCGTCATGAACAACACTTGTGAAATGTAGCAAGTGTTTCCTAAATTATCTAATCCAATTTCCTTCATGTTCATGTGGCTTAGTAAGTACTTCAAGTAAACTTGTGGAATTCATTAATTAATATTATGTTTGTACCAAGGTTATCGAAAGCAAATCGCATATAACTATAAGTATTACTGATAAAAAAAAACAGGTACTGAATAAAATACCGATGAATCATAAAATAGGTCATAGGTAGTCGTGAAAAGTTGATTTATGAAGGCAAGTAGAAAAAAATATCTTGGGAAAATGGAAAGTTAGATAAAACAATTGTTTTGATCTTTATGAAGAATGATACACACAAAATTATAAAAATCCCGATGTATATATCTGAACCTGAAGATTTCGAGTATTTGCTTGGAAATGTCTAATCCTTCAACTACACAAATTTGGCATTTTGTTGAGAATGTGTTTTCATTAACCTTCCGTTCAGAATTTTCTCACTTTTTAATTTCCCATTCTTCCTATTCTTGAAAACACAGTGGAACTAATAATTTCATAGCTTGGGCTTTAATAAACTTTCATAAATGATATTCCAGGGTATCGACATAAAATCAGCTGTCAAAATATCAATTCAAGAACAAAACGGGCTTTCCCGGCCGGTGTCATGATTAGAAAGAACAAAATTCGGGCTGATAGGCCGTGGTCAAAAGAAATTCGTCGTACCGAACGTTTCGTTTGCTACTGTTACAGACATCTTCAGTGGTGTAGGCGTTGACTGAGAAGACGAAGATAATATCTCGAAGTCTTAGTAACGACTGACGGACCACCCCGAATTTTCTTCTTTTTAACACAGTCAATTGTTTTACAGAATGCTCGAAATATAACACTGCTTTTTTGTTTCCAACTTACTGATATCTTATCACATCTACAGCATCCTCTGTTGATTTACTCGAAGTGTGAAGTGAATGCGGATTTGAGTATACTGATGTTGATAGGTCATTGAATATGTTTTTTATTTGCTTTTCGGAGTACAGGGTAGCTCCAGCATGATCCAAATAGACAGAATCTGAAACAAAATGTTTGGAAAATAGTTTGCATTGAATGAGCTTGTTGAGTGCTAAGGAAAATGATACTGGTTTGCTTATAGACTGATCGAGTTAGGGGTATATTATACTTATCAAGCCTAATCGGTCCCAAAATCTCTTTATATTTGCCGAAAAAAGAATAAATCGAAAAGCAGGAACTAAAATTGGCCGCGTGTCTGTTGACCAATGAAATTGATCGTGTCTAGAGCGGAGTTGCCAAGTGTATTGGTTTTCAATATCCAATCACAGATCTGATGATCCAATTTGTTATTGTTGTCAACTCCGTATGAATACAACTGTTACAATTATACAGGGTGTTCCTTAAACACATGGTAATATTTAAGGAGGTAATTCTTAGACCCATTTTAAGGAAAAAACGTCCTATGGACGTATGTCCTAAACGCCTTAACTTTTGAGATACAGGGTGGCAAAGTTTTCAAAAATAATCAGTTTTTTAATAATAACTGAGATAATTTTGTAGACATCTTTGGCATATTTGGTACATATGTTCCATGCCTC